AGAGGAGAGAAAGAGAGGAGAGAAAGAGAGGAGAGAAAGAGAGGAGAGAAAGAGAGGAGAGAAAGAGAGGAGAGAAGAAGAGAAGAGAAAGAGAGAAGAGAAAGAGAGGAGAGAAAGAGAGGAGAGAAGAAGAGAGAAGAAGAGAGCAGAGAGAAGAAGAGAGAAGAAGAGAGAAGAAGAGAAGAGTGAAGAGAGAGAGGAGTTTTTTTGGAATACAACTAAATCGAAAAAATAAATCAGGCAACTAATCGATGATGAAAATAATCGTTAGCTGCAGCACTACTTGCATTGTTAGTAGGGGCAGATACTCAGGGGTACATGATTAAAGTCTCCATAGAGAGACCACAGTTGGGAACCCCTGGCTGTAGATTCACAGGATGGGCTTTAAGTGTTCCCAGAACTTGGTGGATTTACATGATGAAGTGGCTGGTCGTGTCAATGCAGAACCAAGGGGAAATACAAAGCCCTGGGTAGGCTATGACCTCTGTATGCATTTCTGAGTAGTAGAGATCCAGCGGCAAAGGATCCCGTCCTGCAGGATAAATCACAGAACCAACAATCCACTTATAAAAGTCCCGAGTAAGATTAGATTTTTTCTCCCAGTGATGTAGCAGTGAACCCGGGCGAGTCTTGCTGGGACATCACCCACCTTTGCATTGGATAGATGATAAGTACCACATGGATCAGCCCTGAAAAAGGGGACCTTTGCAACCCCTGAAAGGTGCTAGCTTTCTCTTGGCAATTGCAAATAAAATCTTCCTCTTTTATAAAAGAGCAATGGCGCTTTTATGCTTTCGTATGCAGGTCTTAAATGCGGGCTGTGTCTCTACTGGGGAGATTACCCCTCACTTCTTGTCAGGACAGGAAGTGATGAGAAAAGCTCCACAAACAAAAACACACTTTTTAGTACAGCGGGAAGGGTCAGATGTTCTGTCAATGCTTTTAATAGGCTCTGCGGGCCTTTCTGTCTTGGTGGCAACCAATCCCCTCATTAATTGTAGGGGAGTCACAGGGACAGGAAGTGAGGGAAAGTCTCCTCAATGGTGTTACTGGAAAGAATTTTAAGCTCTCCTCCACATCCAAAATTACAAACAAATATAGAACTCCGGACATTTTTTGTTTGCTTTGTATAGATAGGAAACCATCAGGTTCTTATTGCTGACTTGTGTCCTCCTTAGAGTGATTCCCCCAGGCTTCCTGTCCAGTAGACCACACAGAAAATGAAGGGAAATCTCCCTAAGCGGGACAAAGATGGCAATACAAACTCAACCGAGGTTCTGATATCCAAAATGTATTTAAATGTTAAAAACTCTTGCCAAGTCCTGATGCCAGGAAGAAGAGCTCTCTGGAACCACCATACTGACCTGGATTAGAATGCGTGGTCTCTGTGGGGACGGGAAGGGGACGTTGAACATGAAGTTGGAGAGGTGTCTAAGAATAGAAGAAAGAGCATCAGAATCCGGACATTAATATTATTTCATTCTAAGCCAATTCAGTCCAGGAGAGGAGCCGATACAACTGTGCAAGACTAAAGGGAAGGCCGGAGGTCAGATAGAATACTGAATGGAAGGCCGGAGGTCAGGTTGAAGACTGAAGGGAAGGCTGGGTACATCATAGCATAGACACAGAAGGATCATCCTATTGCAAGACCCACAAGCTGAAGGAAAGGGGGTGATGAGACATAAGGACGTGCTTATTATATACATACCTGGCCACACATACACTATATTGCCAAAAGTATTGGGACACCCCTTCAAATCATTGGATTCAGGTGTTCCGTGACATTTCCTTGCTACTAAATAGTCCACGGTCACCTGTTAGTGGTATTATAACAAAGTGGAAGCAACTGGGAACAGCAACTCAGCCACAAAAAATCACAGAGCGGGGTCAGCGCATGTGGAGGTGCACAGTGCGCAGAAGTCGCCAACTGTCTGCAGAGTCAGTAGCTACAGACCTCCAAACTCCATGTGGCCTTCAGATTGGCACAACAACAGTGCGTAGAGAGCTTCATGGAATGGGTTTCCATGGCCGAGCAGCTGCATCCAAGCCTTACATCACCAAGTGCAATGCAAAGCGTGGGATGCCGTGGTGTAAAGCACGCCGCCACTGGACTCTAGAGAAGTGGAGACGTGTTCTCTGGAGTGACCAATCACACTTCTCTTTCTGGCAATCTGATGGACGTGTCTGGGTTTGGTGATTGCCAGGAGAACGGTACTTGCCTGACTGCATTGAGCCAAGTGTAAAGTTTGGTGGAGGGGGATTATGGTGTGGGGTTGTCTCTCAGGGGTTGGGCTTGGCCACTTAGTTCCAGTGAAGGGAACTCTTAAGGCATCAGCATACCTAGATATTTCAGACAATTTTATGCACCCAACTTTGTGGGAACAGTTTGGGGATGGCCCCTTCCTGTTCCAACATGCCTGCACAGAGTCCTGACCTCAACCCGATGGAACACCTTTGGGATGAATTAGAGTGGAGACTGCGAGCCCGGCCTCCTTGTCCAACATCAGTACCTGACCTCACAAATGGTCCAACATTCCCATAGACACCATCCTAAACCTTGTGGATGCCTTCAGAGAAGAGTTGAAGCTGTTATGGTGGTAAAGGGCGGGCCAACTCAATATTGAACCCTACGGAGTAAGACTGGGATGCCATTAAAGTTCATGTGCGTGTAAAGGCCGGCATCCCAATACTTTTTGCAATATAGTGTAATTCACAATATAAATGTACAATCGCCTCTGGATGAGGACTTGTCTGCACCATCCATTCAGTTTATATCCCATCAGATATGCCCCTTGCACAACATAGTTCTTAGAAGGTTGTGCAATCGGATTGCAGCGGGCATGGCCAGCATAACGCAGATGCTTTTCCCTGACAGAAGGACGGCACACTTACTTTTCTATGGGCAGGACGTGGGGGCCGGAGATGGAGTAGCGATAGATGAAAGTCAGGAACTTCTGGAAGACGTCAAAGAAAGGCCAGTGGGACAGGACACAGATGCTCTTCTTGGTCTGAACGGACTTGTTGCCGATGGGGCGCCTGTCCACCACGCTGATCAGGCCTAGGCGTTGGCTCTGCTTCTCTGACAGATCCTCCCGCGGGTATTGCTCATAGAACTGGATGGCAGCTCCGTATACCTGTGGGGAGCACAAAGAAAACGCTGAAAATATACATATGACCAAAAGTCTGTGGACACCTGACCATCACACCTTTATGAGTTGGTTGCACATCCCATTCCTAAACCATAGCCATTAATATGGAGTTGCTTCTTCCACTTCCCCATGGCTATTATTATGAAGTTGACCCCCCCATTTCTCATGGCCGTTAATATGAGGTTGATCCACCTTCCCCATGGCCATTAATATGGAGCTGACCCATCCGCCCTTCCCCGTGGCCATTAATATAGAGTTGACTCCCCATTCCTCAATGCCATTAATATGAAGTTGACCCACCTTCCCCATAGCCATTAAAATGGAGCTGACTGATCCCCCCCCTTCCCCATGGCCATTAATATGGATTAGACTCCTCATGGCCATTAAAATGAAGTTGACCAACCTTCCCCAAGTCCATTAATATGAAGTTGACCCACCTTCCCCAAGGCCATTTATATGAAGTTGACCCACCTTCCCCATGGCCATTAATATGGAGCTGGCCCATCCCCTCTTCCCCTTGGTCATTAATATGAAGTTGACCCAACTTCCCCATGGCCATTAATATGGATCTGACCCATCCCCTCTTTCTCATGGTCAATAATATGAAGTTGACCCACCTTCCCCATGGCCATTGATATGGAGCTGACCCATCCCCTCTTTCTCATGGCTGGCTATTAATATGGAGCTGACCCACCCCCTCTTCCCCATGGCCATTAATATGAAGTTGATCCATCCCCTCTTACCCATGGCCATTAATATGGAGCTGACCCATCCCCTCCTACCCATGGCCATTAATATGGAGTTGACAAATCCCCTCTTACCCATGGCCATTAATATGGAGCTGACTCATCCCCTTTCCCATGGCCATTAGTATGGAGCTGACCCATCCCCTTTTCCCCATGGCCATTAATATGAAGTTGACCCACCTTCCCCGTGGCCATTAATATGAAGTTGACCCACCTTCCCCATGGCCATTAATATGGAGCTGACCCATCCCCTCTTCCCCATGGCCATTAATATGGAGCTGACGAATAGAATCCCCTCTTACCCATGGCCATTAATATGGAGCTGACCCATCCCCTCTTCCCCATGGCCATTAATATGGAGTTGACCCAACCCCTCTTCCCGATGACCATTAATATGGAGTTGACCCCCCCCTTTGTGGCTATAACAGCTTGCTGGGAGGGATTTAGACATCTGTATATATGATATATGACTTGTGAATAATATTTTGTTTGCCTTTTTTCTATAAAGAAGCTTTATTAAAAAAAGAACAAAAGTTCCTTATGTTTCTCAAAGTGTTTGTGTTACAGAAAAAGAGAAGTACAGCAACACAAAACAACAGAACAAAGCAGAGCAGTGTACAGCGGAAAAAGATACATGTTCTTGAACGTCACATGTAGAGAGATCGCTCCAAAAAAACCTCCATTATGACCAAACATATTCCTATTGAAAGTAGAACTGAAGCCAAAACTTTTGTTTTGTTTTGTTTTGTATAGCGTACGGGAGGGTTATAGCCCCTGTCAGCTCTGTCCCTTTGGGGAGATTTCCTTTCACTTCCTGTACAATAGCCACAACAGGAAGTAAGAGGAAATCCCTCCAACATGAGGGAAATCCCTGGTGGTCAGCAGCGTCACCAGAACTAGTGTCTCTATTGGAAGGTTTCCCATCTATTCCTGTTCTGATGACTACCCAAAAATTGGGATTCCACTTTCAGGAAAAACAGTAACCAGGACAAATAGAGGTTAGATATCCCTAGAGAGGGCACAGACAGCAATAAACACTGACAGGGGTTCTAATCCCTCCCCATCCTAACCAAAACTAAAACAAGTTTTGGCTTTAGGTAAGGTGTCTGCTCCTGCTGTCAGCAGCTGTGGGAGGTTGAGAAGATGGCCAATGTTGGGGAAATGTTTCACCATTTCTACCTGCTGTGGTGTTGTTGGGGGTTGGCAAGATAGCCAATGTTGGGCTATCATTTCAACATTTCTATCTGTTTTGGTGTTGTTGGGGGTTGGGAAGTTAGCCAAAGTTGGGCTATTGTTTCACTTTTTCTATCCACTGTGTTGTTGTTGGAGGCTGGCAAGATGGCCAATGTTGGGCTATCGTTTCACCATTTCTATCCATTGTGGTGTTGCTGGGAGTTGGGAAGATGGCCAATGTTGGGCTATCACTGCACCATTTCTATACATTGTGGTGTTGCTGGGAGTTGGGAAGATGGCCAATGTTGGGCTATCACTGCACCATTTCTATCTATTGTGGTGTTGCTGAGAGTTGGGAAGATGGCCAATGTTGGGCTTAATGACAGAGCGGGGTCAGCGCATGCTGAGGTGCACAGTGCGCAGAAGTCGCCAACTGTCTGCAGAGTCAATAGCTACAGACCTCCAAACTTCATGTGGCCTTCAGATTGGCACAACAACAGTGCGTAGAGAGCTTCATGGAATGGGTTTCCATGGCCGAGCAGCTGCATCCAAGCCTTACATCACCAAGTGCAATGCAAAGCGTGGGATGCCGTGGTGTAAAGCACGCCGCCACTGGACTCTAGAGAAGTGGAGACGTGTTCTCTGGAGTGACCAATCACACTTCTCTTTCTGGCAATCTGATGGACGTGTCTGGGTTTGGTGATTGCCAGGAGAACGGTACTTGCCTGACTGCATTGAGCCAAGTGTAAAGTTTGGTGGAGGGGGATTATGGTGTGGGGTTGTCTCTCAGGGGTTGGGCTTGGCCACTTAGTTCCAGTGAAGGGAACTCTTAAGGCATCAGCATACCTAGATATTTCAGACAATTTTATGCACCCAACTTTGTGGGAACAGTTTGGGGATGGCCCCTTCCTGTTCCAACATGCCTGCACAGAGTCCTGACCTCAACCCGATGGAACACCTTTGGGATGAATTAGAGTGGAGACTGCGAGCCCGGCCTCCTTGTCCAACATCAGTACCTGACCTCACAAATGGTCCAACATTCCCATAGACACCATCCTAAACCTTGTGGATGCCTTCAGAGAAGAGTTGAAGCTGTTATGGTGGTAAAGGGCGGGCCAACTCAATATTGAACCCTACGGAGTAAGACTGGGATGCCATTAAAGTTCATGTGCGTGTAAAGGCCGGCATCCCAATACTTTTTGCAATATAGTGTAATTCACAATATAAATGTACAATCGCCTCTGGATGAGGACTTGTCTGCACCATCCATTCAGTTTATATCCCATCAGATATGCCCCTTGCACAACATAGTTCTTAGAAGGTTGTGCAATCGGATTGCAGCGGGCATGGCCAGCATAACGCAGATGCTTTTCCCTGACAGAAGGACGGCACACTTACTTTTCTATGGGCAGGACGTGGGGGCCGGAGATGGAGTAGCGATAGATGAAAGTCAGGAACTTCTGGAAGACGTCAAAGAAAGGCCAGTGGGACAGGACACAGATGCTCTTCTTGGTCTGAACGGACTTGTTGCCGATGGGGCGCCTGTCCACCACGCTGATCAGGCCTAGGCGTTGGCTCTGCTTCTCTGACAGATCCTCCCGCGGGTATTGCTCATAGAACTGGATGGCAGCTCCGTATACCTGTGGGGAGCACAAAGAAAACGCTGAAAATATACATATGACCAAAAGTCTGTGGACACCTGACCATCACACCTTTATGAGTTGGTTGCACATCCCATTCCTAAACCATAGCCATTAATATGGAGTTGCTTCTTCCACTTCCCCATGGCTATTATTATGAAGTTGACCCCCCCATTTCTCATGGCCGTTAATATGAGGTTGATCCACCTTCCCCATGGCCATTAATATGGAGCTGACCCATCCGCCCTTCCCCGTGGCCATTAATATAGAGTTGACTCCCCATTCCTCAATGCCATTAATATGAAGTTGACCCACCTTCCCCATAGCCATTAAAATGGAGCTGACTGATCCCCCCCCTTCCCCATGGCCATTAATATGGATTAGACTCCTCATGGCCATTAAAATGAAGTTGACCAACCTTCCCCAAGTCCATTAATATGAAGTTGACCCACCTTCCCCAAGGCCATTTATATGAAGTTGACCCACCTTCCCCATGGCCATTAATATGGAGCTGGCCCATCCCCTCTTCCCCTTGGTCATTAATATGAAGTTGACCCAACTTCCCCATGGCCATTAATATGGATCTGACCCATCCCCTCTTTCTCATGGTCAATAATATGAAGTTGACCCACCTTCCCCATGGCCATTGATATGGAGCTGACCCATCCCCTCTTTCTCATGGCTGGCTATTAATATGGAGCTGACCCACCCCCTCTTCCCCATGGCCATTAATATGAAGTTGATCCATCCCCTCTTACCCATGGCCATTAATATGGAGCTGACCCATCCCCTCCTACCCATGGCCATTAATATGGAGTTGACAAATCCCCTCTTACCCATGGCCATTAATATGGAGCTGACTCATCCCCTTTCCCATGGCCATTAGTATGGAGCTGACCCATCCCCTTTTCCCCATGGCCATTAATATGAAGTTGACCCACCTTCCCCGTGGCCATTAATATGAAGTTGACCCACCTTCCCCATGGCCATTAATATGGAGCTGACCCATCCCCTCTTCCCCATGGCCATTAATATGGAGCTGACGAATAGAATCCCCTCTTACCCATGGCCATTAATATGGAGCTGACCCATCCCCTCTTCCCCATGGCCATTAATATGGAGTTGACCCAACCCCTCTTCCCGATGACCATTAATATGGAGTTGACCCCCCCCTTTGTGGCTATAACAGCTTGCTGGGAGGGATTTAGACATCTGTATATATGATATATGACTTGTGAATAATATTTTGTTTGCCTTTTTTCTATAAAGAAGCTTTATTAAAAAAAGAACAAAAGTTCCTTATGTTTCTCAAAGTGTTTGTGTTACAGAAAAAGAGAAGTACAGCAACACAAAACAACAGAACAAAGCAGAGCAGTGTACAGCGGAAAAAGATACATGTTCTTGAACGTCACATGTAGAGAGATCGCTCCAAAAAAACCTCCATTATGACCAAACATATTCCTATTGAAAGTAGAACTGAAGCCAAAACTTTTGTTTTGTTTTGTTTTGTATAGCGTACGGGAGGGTTATAGCCCCTGTCAGCTCTGTCCCTTTGGGGAGATTTCCTTTCACTTCCTGTACAATAGCCACAACAGGAAGTAAGAGGAAATCCCTCCAACATGAGGGAAATCCCTGGTGGTCAGCAGCGTCACCAGAACTAGTGTCTCTATTGGAAGGTTTCCCATCTATTCCTGTTCTGATGACTACCCAAAAATTGGGATTCCACTTTCAGGAAAAACAGTAACCAGGACAAATAGAGGTTAGATATCCCTAGAGAGGGCACAGACAGCAATAAACACTGACAGGGGTTCTAATCCCTCCCCATCCTAACCAAAACTAAAACAAGTTTTGGCTTTAGGTAAGGTGTCTGCTCCTGCTGTCAGCAGCTGTGGGAGGTTGAGAAGATGGCCAATGTTGGGGAAATGTTTCACCATTTCTACCTGCTGTGGTGTTGTTGGGGGTTGGCAAGATAGCCAATGTTGGGCTATCATTTCAACATTTCTATCTGTTTTGGTGTTGTTGGGGGTTGGGAAGTTAGCCAAAGTTGGGCTATTGTTTCACTTTTTCTATCCACTGTGTTGTTGTTGGAGGCTGGCAAGATGGCCAATGTTGGGCTATCGTTTCACCATTTCTATCCATTGTGGTGTTGCTGGGAGTTGGGAAGATGGCCAATGTTGGGCTATCACTGCACCATTTCTATACATTGTGGTGTTGCTGGGAGTTGGGAAGATGGCCAATGTTGGGCTATCACTGCACCATTTCTATACATTGTGGTGTTGCTGGGAGTTGGGAAGATGGCCAATGTTGGGCTATCACTGCACCATTTCTATCTATTGTGGTGTTGCTGAGAGTTGGGAAGATGGCCAATGTTGGGCTATCGTTTCACCTTTTCTATGTGCTTTGGTGTTGAGTAGATGGCCAACATTCGCCATCGTATCATCTTTTCTATATGCTGTGGTATTGTTGGTGGTTGGGATGATGGCCAACTGTGGGCTAATGTTTCACCTTTTCTATCAGATATTGTGATGTGGAAGGCTGGCAAGATGGTCAATGCTGGCCTATCGTTTCAACTTTTCTATCCATTTTGGTCTTATTAGGGGTTGGGAAGATGGTCAATGATGGGCTATGTTCACCTTTTCTATCTGCTGTGGTGTTGTTGGGGGTTGGGAAGATGGCCAGTGTTGGCCTATCTTCACCTTTTCTATCCGCTGTGATGTGGTTAGGTGTTGGGGAGATGGCCAATGTTGGGGGTTGGGGAGATGGCCAATGTTGGGGGTTGGGGGCATGGCCAATGTTGGGCTATCATTTTCCCATCCAGGGCTCTAGTAACTGATATTTCCAAGTGTGGGATTTTCAACAGGAAGAAGACCTAAATTTCCCAGGATTCCCATTGTAGGGTCAGGCAGCCATTGTAGATGGAACGCTTAATTATTATTGTCAAATACTGCCAGCCAGAAACCAATTTAGGGTATTTCCAAGACACGTGAGGAAGACCCCCCTGTCTGAAGGGGCATTTAGGGCACATTGGGCAGTCTCTACAGAAGTGGGGGGTCCAATACATCCTATGTAATAGAAGCAACTGGGTAAGTCTCAGAGAGCGGAGGAGATAACCATCTGAGGTACCCTTTGCATACTGTTTGCCTTGTGGCTACATATATAGCACTCTCGCACTATGACAGATTTTGTGATTCGGCATCTTCTTTGTCTCTCTTTCTTTGATTTGGAGGCACACACTGGAACAGGGCAAAGAGGAAGACCTCGCTCACCTTGTCCCCAGACGCTCCGGTCAGCACGAAGGTGGAAAACACAGGCAAGTGGTACTTGGCGGTCACCGACCAACTCTCAATGGTGGCCCCCATCGGCAGGCAGAACATAGCAACCAGGTCTGGGAGTGGGAAGAGCTCGCTGTCCGTCTCCGGGAATCGGCTGATCACCCCTGTTGAGGAAAACCAACAATACGAGGTCTAATATTTCAAATGGGGTTCCACAGAAAATCATTATTTGTGCATTGACCTTTGGACACTACTATAAACTATGGGGCCTTGTACAGTGTTCCTGACAGGGACCTGGTCCTCTCCTCCACCACGGAGCCTGTAGGCTTGACTGTACTTGTGTCTGCAGAGAGGTCGGTAGCATGGTGGACACCCACAGACAGCCCTTACTGGGCTTGGGCCCCCCTGCTGACCCAAAGGGGTCCAGGCAGTACTCCTCTACTGGGCCTAGACCCCTTTGGGTCAGCAGGGGGGCTGTGGGTGTCCACCCTGCTACAGACACCATCAGCAGCCCTTACCTCAGGTATACTGAACAACACAGCTCGGGGAGCAAAGCGCTACCCGCCAAGTGCAATGCACACAGCAACCAATCAGAAGCCATCCTGTGCTTCTCTGGCTTCAGCAAAATGGGCTGACTGGCCACCAGTGATTGGCTGCTTCTATGCTGAGCGTTTTGTACTATTATGGAATAGGCCTGATGGTCTTAAATCCGTCATTTTACAAGGTTGTTACATAAGAAATATATTTTGTATCCAAACTACCCGCCTGCCAGTGATATAGAAATGAGTTTGTATCACCTCATACCCCTCCTCCCCCACACACTGACCTGCTTCATACACCAGGCTGTGCGTCTTCGCCATGGCCTTCTTGTAGCAGAGAAAGAGGGCGGGGCCGAACTGTAAAAAAAAGAAAAAAAAAAGATGTCACATGACTTAGACTGCATACGCACAGAGCATGACCACCTCGTCCTGAGCAGGACACAATATGTCAGAGCTGTGGTGGGACATTAGAGTGTAAGCTCCTCTGTACAGAGACTGATGTGACTGTGGGGGGACATTAGAGTGTAAGCTCCTCTGTACAGAGACTGATGTGATTGTGGGGGGACATTAGAGTGTAAGCTCCTCTGTACAGAGACTGATGTGACTGTGGGGGGGACATTAGAGTGTAAGCTCCTCTGTACAGGGACTGATGTGACTGGCTCAGTGTTCTCT